TTAGCCAGGATTAATATTCTTAACATCACTACTGTATAGCAACTTACATATGGAGGAAACATAATTCCCTTACTGCATGTAAAAAAATTCATATATTATTCAGGTATATGGGGAAGAACCCAGCGAGGACCAATCAGCATGGTCAATAGAGTTCTCACCACTCAGCTAGATCAAGTTAGTGATTCTCTCAAAACATCAAATCAAGTCTTATCCATTGGCTGATACACGGACCATGGAGATAATTTCAGTAATCAGTGGTGCTCTAAGTTGTGTAAAGTGTTAGGTGTGGTGAAGATGTGAATTTAACCATATCACTTCAATCTGAATGGGAAATACAAACTACCAAATGCAGGCTTGCCAAGTTTGTTAATCCTGACCAAACTGAAAGGGAGTGAGCAATTGCTATATATTATGATGACAGATAGAGAAACTGAACAGATGTTTACAGGTTGTTCTGTCAAACATGTATGTGTTTGGGTGGAAAATAGTGCTCCCTGTTCACAAAATGTATGGTCCTCCTCCTAAAGCAGATAAATGGGATATGTAGAGTGGTCAAGGTATACATTAGTTTGTGCATACAATTGACCACAAACAGTTAGAAAAAGTTACCAAATGTAAGGAAAATGCTACAGCAAGAGGGTAGAGGACCAGATATACCAGTGTGGAGATTGTATCTGGCTCTGGTAAGTGCTAGTAGCATTGAAGTATCTTGAAGCTGGCTAGATAGGTCTACCTCATGGTCTGACAGACTGATCCATTGATGTATGAGTTACAGAAGATGATAGGCAGGCAAAATCACATGAAGCACTTTGATAATCTGTGTTCATACATCACAGACGAACCTTTTGGGCACTAGCTTGATCAGTTTCAGATGTGATGGTAGCCATGTATTTGCTTTCAGACATAATGTGATGGATACAACCCTATTGTCACCACTAGCCTTGATTGTTTTCCACTTTGCTTACAACACTAATGACCATTCCAGTTTAAAGCTGGATAGTTGATCACCCATAATTATGAAACAACAGTGGGACTTCATTACTCTTTGGACAGACAACTTCTTGAGCTTTGTCTGCAATAAACCATCCAAACCCACTTTTACAGTGGTACTGTTATTTCCTTTGTTACGTATACTCGTGCAGTTCACTACTCTTGAGCTTCATTTCACCCAAATCAGATATCATTCCCATGGAACATCAGCTCACTAGTAACACTAGCAAAACTGACCAATTATTTCTGCAGTACACATATACTGAGAAGACTAATACTTGAACTGAATTCAGAGATGGTTACTTTCTTTCTGCCAGTAGCAACTGCTAGACACAACCAGAGATTTGCCTCTCCATTCATCCTTAGTCTATTCCCAGAGTGAAACTGTCATCCACTTGCCAAAATATTGGCCTCACTTGGAAAGCATGATATATAGCAGTGTTCTGGCTGCTCCCATGTTAACTAGGAACTTGATATTTTTGCCATAAGAAAACTGGGATGTTCCCCCAAACCTCTTGGCACAGCTGTCTGCAATAGCCCCCAAGTCATTGGCCAGACCCAACTTAGGCTTCATTAGTTTTCTGGAGCTGTAGTAGCACCATTCACCACTTGCTGATAGTACTCTTACAAATGCTGAGACATGAGATGAAACTGATTGTCGTCCTGTGGGACACTGGTAAGTCTACGGATTTACAACTCTAAAATCCGGGGTTCGAATACCACCAGTAGACATAGCAGATAGCCCAATGTGGCTTTCCTCTAAAATAAGCAAAAAATCAAGTGAAACTGATCGCTTTTTCCACATTCTTGCTTTGAACACTAGAAGTAAAATCTGCTTGGCTTCTTTCACAAGGAACTTTGATGGTAGTGACCATATCTTCTCTCTTGTAGATTCTTAGCCATTACCTGGTTGAAATACCACCAAAATCGTGGATTTGGCAAAGTAGACACTCAGAGACCTTATCCCTTAGGCTAGTAGTCAGTTTCTTGTCCAAAGCAGCAGTGTTGAGTTTTTCTCACCAGCAGCTTATCTAGATGCTCTGTTAGACCCTATTATTCTTCACAATCAAAATTCGCCCTGGCAGGATATCTCCTAAGGTGGAAAAGCTTCCTACTGCCTCATTGGTTGTCATTCTTCTCCAGTTAGTGCCCACCATCTCACCTGCTAGGGAAATATCTCTGACTAGCAGTTCTTGTCCACAAGCAGCACATCCAGTCTTTCTTGGCTGGTCTTGGCTAGAGCTTAGATTGAGTTACTCTGACTGCCCCATGAAGTCTTAGATTCACCAGATGCCATTCCATCTTGACAACCCTAAGTCATTTGTGCTTCCCTTGCACAAATGTCCATCTTCAGGACAATGATCAATCAGCCATTTTTCACCAGACATTAACTGACATTCTTTTGCACCATTGGTAAAGTTGGACTTCTCCTAGACTTGGCATTTCTCTTGTACAGCCATCTCTTTTCAGTATTCAACTCTCTCTCTTGACTGTGAGTACTTCTACTTGCATAAAATACCATTCCTTAAGCCAGAAGCATTCCTTTAAATTATAACACAAGATTTCAAGTAAGAACAATACCACATTATATAGTGGACACAATAAATACTCTTCGAAGAAATACCACAAAATAGGTAGGAAGGAGAAATATTTGTGTTGTGACCACAGGATATATATTATGGAGTGGTAGGATGTATCATAAAGAGATATTGGATTTAAATAAAATTAACTGAGGTTAAGAAGAAAAATATTATACATGATGTGCAACACATACAATGGAAACAACATTTATTGATCAAAGACATAAAACACAGTGTGTATACTGGTCCATGGACGCTCAATGGTCGCCTTTCAACGGAATTCATGAGTTGAGTAGACTGACTTTCTTCTTTCGAGATGTACTCCCTCTAATCACATCATTCAAAAATCTAGTACATGCATGAATAAATTTGTTTCAATTTACTTACTGATTATAAATACTTTCCACAAGTTTCAACTTTTACAGTAAGGAAGTTGTACTTGTTTGAATAAAAATTCTTCCTTACTGAAAAAACTATAACTTGTAAAAAATCCAGTACATGAGTGTTTACATTTAATTTTTCTAACTTAATGGGAAGCATTGGGTTCCTATTAAGTTAGAATTGACTAGTTATTATCATTCATACATATGAGGAACCATTAACCCGTGGTATCATCTGGTCTATCATTGGAGAATACTTGCTGCCAACATCCTTGCACAATGTACAGCCATTTCTCCCATGGCCAGAACAGGTGTGAACGCAATAGAATAACAAGGAACAAAGACAGCTAGAATGACACCACCTTCATGACTTTATTGACCATGTATTATGCTAAAATTACATAGACTTAGAATTTCTCAAAAACTTTCATTTATTCTACATTGATATGAGAATGCGGAAAATGCATGGCATACATGAAAAAATAATAGAATATTTTAACATAAGTTACTTCAAAAATGTACTACAGAGATAGCTTTTTATATTTTTTGGTTATTAAGCACAAGGCTACACAATAGGCTATATATGCTATGCCCATCATGGGTATCGAAACCTGGTTTATAGCGTTATAAGCTATCAGACTTACCACTGAGCCATAGAATGGCACAGAGATAGCAAAAACAATATATTATCAACAAGCATACATTACTTCTTGAGTGATGGATTTACAGTAACAATTAGTGCAAGTATTCAGTTAAGTTACAAAAAGATAACGAAATTATAAGTTTAGAAAATTTAATCTATTTCAACCTTAAAGCAACGTTTAAAGAATATGAACTTTATGATTTTATGCTGACTGATAATTTAAGTGTTTCTCATATAGATTATACAATTTCTGATATCTCACAGTAAAATTAATGTTATTACATTTTAGATAGGCAATAGAAGCAGAGGCTGGGAAATTGTCGTTTTCGTACACTAGATTGCTTACGGAAAATATGCAGAGAGGAGAGGTACGATTAGACATGAAATCCTTACAACATAAACTTTTTCAATGGAAACTACGCTGCAGGGGTACCACCAAGATACACAGTCGTCAGATAAAGGATGAGTGGTGAAAGTGACTATAATAATGTGATGAAGCTTCAAATATAACGTACTTAACCACCGTATATCATAGCCTTACTAAATCTATCGTTATTTCATTAGCATTAATCGAGATATTTAAAATACATATCACGAAAACGTCAAATCTTGTAGAAAGAAGCGACTAATTAGATTTATTTCTTAAAGTAAATTGGATATTGTGAATATCGTATAACTCCATGACAAGCTAAGATGACTATAACTGCTTGTTATACTAAGATGAATTTAATGTAAGGAATAGTCTTTACAGCTTCTTGCGATTCTAAGATGAATGTCATGCAAGGAACTACTATTATAGCTATATGTCGTACTAAAATGAACTTTATATAGAGAACGTCCACTATGGCTGCTTGTTATACCTAGATGAATTTAATATTGGGAACGAATACTATAATAACAGTTTGTTAATGCAATGATGAATTTAATATAGACAACGACTACTGTAGCTTCTTGTTATACAAAGCCTAATTTAATATGGGAAGGACTACCATAGCTATATGTTATACTAGGATGCATTTAATATTGGAAGGACTACTATTTAGCTGTTTCTCACCCTAAGATGAATTTAATATAAAGGAGGACAAGTATAGTTACTTTTCACGCTAGGAAGGTTTTAATATAGGGAATAATTACTGTATCTGCTTGTTATTTTAAAACGAATATAGAGGCCGAACAACTATTATAGCTGCCAATCAACCAATCAAGTAAGAAGTTGGGTATGGTGAGAACAAACATATTTCTTCAAGGTTTGATTCTTAAGTACAATTAGCTAATCGATAAATGTCTTGCATTAATCACAAAGCGGACATCTCCATGTGTTCTATTCTCAGGCTCCGTATGTTTTATTCTCATGTTCTTTATTAGATGTTAATATCTTATGATATATAAGTAACAGAAGTAACTAACTGTTGGAGAAGCTACAATATAATGATCCTGTTAGTTTTGTTCGTGATTGGTTTTGCATGGGGAACACCAGTGGATAGTAAGTATTTTCTTTGGGACTTATTGTTTACTGGTGAACTACATAACTATGACCTGCCACTGTTACGTTCACCAATAGAACATAAATACAATATCGTTATTTCATGTACAACATAAATACCTTTTATAGTAGTGATATCTGATTTACGCTTGAGTGTGCAGTTATTATTTTCGCTTTCATAGTTTATAATGAGATTTCAGTAACTTATAATAAAACGATTTTTTGAATACGTAAATTAGCAAGTCACGTGACAACCAAAACCGAAATCTGGTCTTGGTGGAACGACATTGTTTGGCGTAACGAGGTAGTGTCATGCCATCGTAAATTTATCGCTTTTGGGAAGGTTATGTATCAATCTTTTCCGACGTTAAATATCCATATACTCAGATCATATAGACGGTGATACCCTTGAACTTGATGACATTGGAAAACAAAAGAATATGAACAAACTTGGAGAACCACGACCATCCAGAAAGTGACCTGCAACAAATCAGACCTTAGTCATGATAAGCAGAGTGTAGTGTCTGTGAAAACGACACAAGTCAGATGTGCACAAGTTGCTTCCACGACATAGTTGTTTAACCGTCGCATACCTCAATCAACTGGAGAACGAAAGGGGTATTCATGCTATTCTATACAAAGTAGTAACAGTCAAGTCGCCGGACGCAGTACCTATAGATTTCTGTACGATCGGACTATTGAAGAGGGCGCTGCGAAACCGTCCTCGTCGTAAACTAGATAGCTTATGGAAAGCACGCAGGTAGGAGGCTTGTTCTTTAGCCTTACGACGGAGCATTTTGCAGTGGAAATTACGCTGCAGAGAAGCTGTCAAGATGCACGGTCATCAGATGCAAGATGAGTGGGTGTGGGAACATGGAATGTGACAATGTGATGAGGCTTCAAAATGTTTTTTTTTATAGTGTATTTTAACCTCAGTATACCATAGGCTTAATCAATCTAATGATATTTCATTGGTATTGGTTTCAATTTAGGTATTTAAAATGTATACTTTAACACATATCATAAAAATGTCGAATGTTGTGGAAAAACGATATTAATGAAATTTCTTTGTTAGATTGAAAACAATATTACAAATATGGTATAGCGTAACTGCTATTTTATAGCTCCTTGTCATGCTAAGATAACTATGGCTAATTGTTATAGCAAGATATATTTGATATAGGAAACGACTACTACAGTTGTTTGTTATAATAAGCCTAATTTAATATAGAGAACGAATATTACATCTCCTAAGATTACTACTGTGTAGAGGATTGGCTTCTTATATTTCCTTGTTATACTAATATGAATATCATATAAAAAATACTACCCTAGCTCCTTCTTAAATACCAAATATTGCAAGGGTTACTTTGTAGCTAATTTGTAGCCAATCCTCTACACAGTAGTAATCTTAGGCTAAATAGGAGATGTAATAATCGTTCTCTATATTATATTAGGCTTATATAGGAGAACGACTACTGTAATTTCTTATCACGATAATATGAATACTTACAGAAGAAAACAATTTGAGTTTTTTTTAATAACAGGAGTATATGCATATGTGTTCTTTTCTTTTCGTAGGACCTCTTGAAAACTTAGGAGATCTTCCACTGTACCACTCTAGTAGGTGTTTTGTAAATCTTCCAAAATCAAAGCATTTTTCTATTTTAGCTGAAAATATCAAGTATAATATTATATAAATAAAGACAATCTCTGTTTAATTAGAAACAAATAACATTTATTACGTCAAGATCAGTTAGTAAACAAATTTTGTTGATCAGATATTGTGTTACTGGTAAAAGAAATGAGATGTTGTTAAGTTAAAAAATTTTTCATTGAAAATGTGGTGCACTGATAAAAAAAACGTATACAAAACAGTGTTTTGTTTTTCATTGAAAATGTGGTGCACTGATAAAAAAAAACGTATACAAAACAGTGTTTTGCTCAAATCAAAACGTTTTTAGAAACATTTTTTTTGTACGTTCTGTATTACGGCCGTCATCAGGCCAACTCATCTTTTTTCTTAAGTGTTTAGTTGATACGATTAAAGTACTAAAAAAATCATAAAAATATTGTCAATAATGGTTTTAATTGGTTTTTATCATTACTATTTAGGACGTATAGTTGTTTACCATATATTTTATAGCCGAACAACATTTACTGTATTTGGAAACTTAAAAACATTTCAGTAAAAGTATTTATTTTGCAGATCTCTTCGAGGGTGACATAGCAGGAGTTAGCCCATATGCAGTAAGTTTTGTTAGTTAGCCCATATGCAGTTAGTTTTGTTAGTTAGTCCATATGCAGTAAGTTTTGTTATTTAGCCCATATGCAGTAAGTTTTGTTTTTCAAGTGGTTGATTCAGTTTAAATGTTTATAAAGTATAAAAAACCTAACAAAATTTCATAAATATCCAAGAAACAATTGTTTGCAGACTAAATATTAAAGGTAGTTTTATTTAACGCAACAGAAATGTTTTGTCTGTTGATAAGTTTAATGAAACATAACTAATGCGAATATTTTCAGTTTTATGTTAAAATGTTAATGATAAATCCAGAAACCATCTTACTAGTTTTCGTAAAATCAATGAACAATCTACAGGTTTGAGATAATACGACAAATGTCACTTCCTTTAGTGGCAACACCAATGAGAACTTTGCAAAGATAAAATCTGAATGCGAAAATAAATTTTTCAACAGAATTATAAACAATAGTTATGAAGACGGCTTGAAAAAAGCGTGTTCTACAAACAACTTAAACAATGTTACTGGTGCTTATTTGTAATAAATTCGGAAGGAAAAATGACTTGTTTCTGTCAAAAATTGTGTGAACGTCAGATACAACATCAAATAATGATAACTTAAATATGTAAAATAAAAATCCAATGAAATTCATTAAAATCTCTTTTCAGATGTCACCCATACGTAGGACAATACATTTACATAATGTTTGTCTTAAAACCTATAATACGCCCTTATTATTAGTTTTAATATATGATGATTATCCAATAGTAAACTCTTAGGATCCGCTCTAATAAAATAATAATACCCATTGGTTCTATTAAAATTTAAATCTTCATCACAAATATTAGACATTACTTTATTCAAATATCAATATTGCATGGAAATCCATTTTAAACGTGAAAAAATATCAACAGCCCATGGAGGTAGATTTTACATATTAAAAATATCATTTGTCCATAGAAATGCGTTTTACACATTAAAGATATCAATAGATTTCTAATACAGTGTTTTCAAGCACTAACATGTGTTTATTTTCTTTTAAGAAATTTATAGTTTCACTGTAGTAATATAAATTGGCGTCGTAGCTCGATGTTGATAAATAGGTTTAATACGTTCTTTGTTTTATGTACAATGTTTATAATTTTTAGGATAGAAATATTAAATAAAAATAATATATATATAATGTACAGAAAAATAAAATTTGAAAATTAATAAATAGAAAAATATTTATATATTTTTTTCAGGATAAAAATGCCATTGTTGACCACACACTTTTGTGGCCTGGAGGAATTGTGTATTACGAACTAGCGCCAGCTGCCGGTAAGTATAATCAATATTACTGTATGGTGGGGCAATATGAACAATTTGCATCATTCAAAATCAGGTTGAGGCATTGAAATATGTGTTTATTTATACATGTGTGTGTATCTATTCTATACTAAAATAAAATAAAAAACGATTATTTTCCTTGTCTCCTATAGCCACTGTGCTTACAACGCCACTGATTCTGGTTCATGAAAGAGACAATATTTGAATTAGAAACAAAACTGTTATTTGAGTAATTTGCATAATTTCGTATGATAAGATATGGAATACGTCCTGCTGAGTTAAGATTATAATCCGAGTCAAAAGCGTTTAGTTTAATTCAGTGTAATTCTCTTACAAAGCATCCATAAAGCTCTAACAGGCTGTCTATGTTGGATTTCTCAATTGGCTATTTGATTTTTGAACACTTCTCACAATCTGATGATGACAAAACCTTGTCGAAACGTTGTACATTTGCTGTTATGTTAAACTTATATTAAAGTTTTTCTTCATTACCCATTTAAGCCGTCTCCAGCCATTATTAACGTTTACTGTTGTTCCGTTTGGATGAATCTAACGTGTAGTTGTTCTAACAATAACTATCTGAACCAATTTTAATGCTCCAAATTGTAAGGTTTCGAATCTTAGAGGCTACATTTAGATCTGAATATTTTAATTTGAGTCTTTCATTTATTTAGTAATTCTGTACTTGTAATATTGAAACTTCTAGTTGGCAAACTTTTAAGATCACACTCAAAGAAAATGAAACTTTTATTTTCATGTAAAAAACAAACACAAACTTTTCAGGTTTTATGCTGGTTCTAACTGACTACTATACAGATCTTACGAATCCTTAAATTTTATTGTTCCTAACTTCTGTTCATGAATTCAGCAGTACAAGATTATATCAGATCATTGTATGAAGATATAAAATAATGCAAATAACTATGCTTTAAATGTTTGTTTGTAATTAAGCACAAAGCTACACAAAGGGCTATGTGTTCTCCTCTCACCACGGGTATCGAAACCCGGATTATAGCGTTGTAAGTCCGCAGACATACCGCTGTGCCACTGGGGGCTGCTTTAAATGTTTCATGTTGTTCAATCTGGCGCCTACAGAGTGGTGGATCACGCGCATTTATTTATAAAATGAGTCCTTAGATCAAATTACTTACAATAAGTTTAACTATAAGTTCCTTATCAGTAAATTATTGGAGAAATTTATCATAGAAATTTAATAAGAATGACAACATAAATTATTAATGTAATTCATGCGTTTTAATAACTTGATAAGTGAGTGCTTCATGGAATTCATCCGCGTGAATTTACACATAAAGACTTTTCAATACAACTCCATCCTTGTGATGTTTATGCAACTATAGCACGTCTCTCAGCAGCAATCGTCCTCTTGTAGTGTTTTGGCACTAGATATTTTCCCATAGCTAACTATACTACATCCTGTAACATCGTGACTAAATAACAGATGAATTGGACACAGTAAATATCTGGAAGAACACTGAGATCGAAGCCAGCCTTGGGCCAGAACAATTCGGTTAACTTTCGTCTGTTCTGTCTTGCTTCAATCTGGTAGGGTGTACTTTCAGCCCTGTATAACATTTTAAAATAAGCAATTTTATTGTGTTTTCTGTTTACTTTTTCATATACACACACACATATACATATGTATATAAAGTTCAATTACAAGCTGAATACGTTCCTACCTGAACTCAATTATTATTCTTTTCTAAAATTGCCTTTATGGACGGCGGAAAGCTTCTCATAAAGACTCAGTTTTTTTTCATTTGTCACTATCATCACAGGCCCAACTAAAACGTTTGGAAAATACAAGTCATGTAACGTAAGCTTGATTTGAGATCGTGGGAATGCATAAGTATATTACAAATACTCATCAGTTTGGTCAGTTACTGTATTTTTTATACTTTTTGTTTAATGATAGTCAAGGATATAGTTTACAAATCAAGGGAAACCATTTATTTTTCAGAAGCCTAAATCACAGGGCACATTATGAGGCATTGTTCATTCTTTCATATTTTTATGTCGTCTTGAGTTTTAAAGGTTTATTTATAGCGAAACCAGAAGATTAAACTATATCACTTTGTATACCACTGAATCATTGATCTGAACAGGTTGTTGTCACTGTTTTCTTAGCGTAGAGTAAAACAATTGGCTATCTGCACTTTGTTTACCACGGGGAATCGAACCCCGGATTGTAGCGTTAGAAGTTCGTAAACTTACCGCTAACCCATCGGGGGACAATGTGAATAGGATTACAACGTATAAATATATGTTTATTTGGCAATGATTTCAAAATCTCTCGGTTTAGACTTTGTGTTTGAGCGCAATGTTATACAATAGGGCGATAGGCTATCTGTGCTGTGAGGGTATCGAAACTTGAATTTTTCCCCGTTATAAGCCCTCAAGCTACCAAGGTAGCTTTACTTAATCATATGTCTATATAATATATCATGAAAAGCTGCTTTGATTATAAAGAGTTTGTTTTGTTTGTTTGAAGTTAAGCACAAAGCTACACAATAGGCTATCTGTGCTATGCTCACCACGGGTATCGAAACCCGGTTTCTAGCGTTGTAAGTCCACAGACATTCCGCTGTGCCACTGGAGAGAGAGTGGTTTTGTGGCTAGGAGACTGTGAAAAAAAAGAACATTTGTCATGGCTATAATTCTAAATAAATAAGTTATTACATTATTTTTCAGAACATTTTCAATAATTATTGTTTTAAGGCTTTAGCTTCTGAAGATATATATTTTTTATGTGTGCTGTTAATTTACATGATTTTTGAAACACCCTAAATGCATTTTTTTTTTTATATAAATTAGCCAGCATCCGGAATCAAATTCTTGAAGGCATGAAAGAATACCACGAAAAAACATGTATTCAATTCAAAGAAAGGACTGCTGGAGTGAAAGATTATATAAGGATTAATCGTTACGATGGGTAAGTAGTATTCATACAATAAATCGAACCCCTCGGATTATAGCATTGTAAGTCCGTCAATTTACTGCTGACCCACCGGTATTGAAATTGAACACAATAACTGGATCTGCTTGAAGTCAGTTATTATAAAACTTATATATTTGTAGTTGCTGGTCAATGGTGGGTCGACAAGGTGGAATGCAAGAACTGTCGTTGGGATATGGATGTGAATGGAAAGGTCTGGTTGTACACGAACTTGGACACGCTGTAGGATTCTGGCATGAACAAAACAGAGCTGATAGAGATGATTACATCGAGGTAATCTGGGACAATATACTCCAAAGTAAGAGTGGTCAAAATATTTAATTTTTTTGTATCGTTTCTGATATTTTCTTTTCATTATTTTTTAATTTTTGAAAATATGAAACCGTAAAACATAGATTGGAGACCAACTGTTAAGTACTTGAGTTTATTACGACATACAAATCGTAAATATAATCAAATATTCCTTAAAACAAGAGTTTTTAGTTTTTGTTTTTTTTACTTACTGAAATGTGTTACACCAAAAAACCAGCAGAGATGTAAAGCAGTTATATTATTAACAACAAAAAGAGACAGATATAAAAACAAACATATTTTTAACTTTCAGAAACTTAGATAAAAATTTCGATTACAAACAAGCACTTTTTCAGGGTAAGAAGTGTTTTAAATGGCACAGTTATACATATGTTAACCCTGATAACCGGTCGTCCGACATTTATGGACAAATGTATATTGCGACAACTCTTGAGCCCCTAAACAAAGTTTGTTAAATTCCAACCTAGCTTACTCATAAGTATTCATTCCATCATTTTACAAAACTTATTCAACATCAAACGTACGTTAAATTGTGATGTAACAATGTAAAGAAAAACCATGGTTTATCTGTTATTTGTATGAACATCTCACTATTAAGAAATGAAAAAGAAAGAAACATTTAATAATTATGAACTTTCTTTCATGGTAAGCCTTCTATGCGCAATTTAAAAACCAAACATTTAAATACGAAAGATCACAGTAATTCGCAGTTTTAAATCTTTAATAGCTCTTAAGCCAAATAAATGTTAACTGAAGTAATTAATTCAGCTCTTATACACCATTTTTGACACGTCATCATAGTTAAAAAAAATATAGCTATAAGATTAGTAACCACAAAGAACACTGTTTGAACTATATTTTTCATACTTTGTGATTTAATGACAATTAAGCTTTTATTATTATAACTTATCTTAATAATACGTAAAGTTACAACTTAAATTATATTTGTAAGAACTGTGCCTCAAATATCACTATACCACTTTTCATCTACTGTGTTTATATCTGAAGACAAAAATCAGAAAACCTATAACGAGAACGCTTTCGCAAGGTAGACCTTCTTCATTAGGGGGCAAACTGGTAAGGAAGTGATAGTTTATGGTCGTTTACAATATCAGGAAGGGTGAACCAATTGTGAGTTATGTGTAAAACATGTTTAAGTTTTTATGTGGGCCATGCTAATTGTTTCTATTTTCATCACTTTTGCGGAGACTTACAACATTTCACGTCACATTCTAGAATTAGAATTCTTTCTTTTGCTTGCAAACTTACTTTCTGTTTTCTTGATTATCGTTAATTAATGAATATCCAACGTTAGAGTGTGTGTTTCATGTAATCTTAGGTATTTAAAAAAATGTTCAAGAAATTTAATTACGTAGTGCATTTGAATGTTTTCTCTTTCACTATTATACTTAAGAAGTGTATTATTTTTATTCCCCTGATGACCTCCTTCTGCGATTAAATTTACCTTCGTTTTGATGAATATTATAGGCCATTTCCAACACTAAAACTTTTAAGTTGCGGATGCGGGTTGGGCTGTTTTATTTTGTCTGAAACCATAATTGAATAAACCCCATCAAAATATTCGCCAAGTTATTTTGCCAGTAGAAAGTCTTCCTTAAATACCATTCTATTATTATCAGCTTTTTCCTTTTTCTTTTCCAATTTCCACGCTATGAAGTTCAACTTGAACATTAAATCTAACTCTAACCTTACTTAGACTAAATTTTCGAGTACATCATATCACCTCATATTTTGTTGTTTGAAACTCCTTTTGAAAATGAGATTTGAATATACAATAGACTGCCCATAACTACACTGGATTCTTGCCTGAGTTAAACTAACTTTTACGCCTTAAGTATCGAATTTCTTTCTGTTCAGTGTCAAAAAATGAAAGCTGGTGTATTTTGCGAAAGTTCGAATTTTTATACCTGATTGGTTCATAATGTGTAAAACTGTGATAGTACTTTAATCTACACTTCTATAAAACTAAAATCTGCCTTCTTTATTTTAGTATTAGAAAAGTAGTTAAACAAAGAATTCGATTTCTTTATTTTAAAAAGTAAGTTTAAACACAATTTCTTTATAGATATGTTGAAATAGCTCTATTTGTAAATAATATTTATTGTAAATAGTTGTTTCCGACTTATGTTTCCGAATTGTTAGGTTCGAGTACAGTTGACACATGAAGTGATAGGTTTACAAATAATCAACATCCAACATGTATATGTCGTTTCAAAAACTTCCGGAATATTATATGTATACATATATTGGTATATGTTCACATTATTAGGAGTAAGTATATATTTTTTCCAGGTATGCAATACAACTTCAATAAAATGGAACCATGGGAAAATAATTACCTTAATGAACGATTTGACTACAAATCCGTTATGTTATACGGAGAGACTGCATTTTCCAAGGATGGAACCTCTCCTACTGTTAGGCCTAAACAACCGGATGTGGTTATTGGTCCTGTCTGGAAGAAACCTGGTTTTAGTGAAAGTGACGTTAGGAGAGTGAATCGTCTTTACGAATGTTTTGGTGAGTGTGTAAACATAAAGATATCCAAATATTAAGATCTCGAATCCCTTTATGTACCAAAAGGCTGATCAGTTTGTCATAAAATTCTGAGCAAATCTCATTCATATTCACTTATGAATTACTTTAAATAAATGCTTCTCGATCTGAAAATCGAACATCAGATGTGAACAACACCTACTATTTGCACTCAAGTGCCTCTTTTTGTTTTGGCGGGCGAAACATCACGTGATGAGTGACCTGTGAAATAGTCGGCTGTAGTTTCTTTATAACCAACTTCCGAGGAAGCAACAACGACTGTGTAAATTCATTCCGACCTATGTGATAACTTCCCTACTCATTAAAGAAAAAAATATAATCTGTTAATTCACGGTTGTCAAAAGCTCAAAACTCAAAAGTAAAAAATATTCTATCGGGAAAGCAGGACAACATTCCGTAAATCAGGACGTCTGCTTATTCTGTCGATACTTTGATATTTCTGTATGCATGAAAAACACAAAAGTATATTTAAAGTGCTACCAAGTATGTAATATGTAAACAATTTATTTATCCAAATTTGATTTTTGGTGGGCTCAGAGACGTCTTGTGAATACCGTATTTTTCGGAATATAAGACGCACCCTTATTTTGAAGCCAAAGTTTTGGGGGAAAAAAAGCTACAGTCGCATTTGAAAGATTTTTATTGAACAAAAATTCAATTGGTATATATTGTTCTAAACATCAAAATAAGAAAATACCGTAAATTAAAAAGGTTTACTGTTATTTAGTTTGGTTCAAAACCTACAAAATCTTCATTGCTTTCACTGTGATTTATTTTTTATTATTTAGGGAGCATTATAAATAGTTATGTTTTTAAAAGAAAAAAAACTACTATTGTTATAAATAACACATTCAATTGAACTAAATTGTGCATGCCTATTTAAATATATTTACACATAGCTTGTGTATATCGTATATATACATATATATTATTCATACCTTCGGTGTATATGACGCAAGCAGATTTTGACATCAAATTTTGGGGTAAAAAGTGCGTCTTATACACCGAAAAATACGGTAACTTTGTTTTCACTCTATATAAAACATTTTGAATATTCTGTCATTTGTTCGACGTATATGAAATGAGTAAAAAATAATCTCAAGTACGAAACACATAGCTCTACAATATTAGCTTCATAACAACTGAAGTATATATATGTGTATGTCTCAAAATAAATTTTAAGAATAATTTGCAAAACTATTATTATTTACATATAAATGATGTTATTTTTGAATCAATGATATAAAGCTGTTAGGAATTCCAACACTTTCTTTTTCTGTTTGTTAACCGTGCTAACAACATGCTTTATGGTATAACATGGTATAGCCCCCAGTAGCACAGCGGTATGTCTGCGGACTTACAACGCTAGAATCCGGGTTTCGATACCCGTGGTGGGCAGAGCACAGATAGCCCATTGTTTAGCTTTGTGCTTAACTTCAAACAAACAAATAATATGGTATACAAGTTAAAATAAAATTGGTAGTAGACCTGCAAACAGCAAGAGATTTTAAGCTTAGTAGACCACAATTAAAAGTGTCTTTTTTCTATCTTTTTTGTTCATGACACCTAGGTGAGGTACGTCCACCGCCGCCAAAAATACCAGACTTCATCTGTGACTTTGAAAGCAATGACTGTGGGTTGGAAAATCAAGTAGGCATGCGTGGTGAATTTCAAAGAAAATACGATACTCTTGGCGGACGGACAGGTAACTTTGGATAGATTTGGTATTTTATTATCGAGATACTTACATACTGAAACATGGAGTGTTATCACTTTCATACATATGCTTTAAGTTATGTTTTAGCAAATAAATGACTTTTTTGTTTTTTACTCTAACCTAAATATTTTTTTTTGTATTCGTGTGAAAACTATCCGAACTTCCTAATTGTATTCCACAGGAGGATAGATATGATTAGCAATGCGGGATGTTTCTGTGACCTTCACGTCAGACCGCTAAATTTTGATACCAAAAATAATTTCTATAAAGAGACAAAATGAGAACAAGCAAATTTAATTATCGCATTTAATTATATTAGTTTCGATATTTGATCTTTAAATATGAATTACTGTAATCATCACCATCAAAATAATTCCAGCTGTAATTTGACCAGAAAAGTTTCTAGTTTTGTTATTCATCTTTTTTTTTTTCTATTCTTAAGCTTAATTCGCCAATAATTAGACTTATGTCAGAGGGAAACACAGGTGCTTTTATGAAAGGTATGAAGTATGAAACTCTCGAAGGCATGGCAAAAATGATAAATTCATACAGTTGTGATGTGTGCGCAAAGTGATGTGTCTGTCCATCAGGGTAAGGTGAGAGCGACCGAAATATCCAATCTATGTTGATCTTTTTTTTAACATCTTAAGAAGCGCAAAGAATGTGTTTAAATTTAGAATAAAATTAATAGTTATTATATAAACTAAAGCTAAAAACAAGCTCCATGAAAATAACTTTATTCGGGCCCTGAATGATGCATTACGCAATATTATGTAAACTAAGGTCAGCATCACAGGATAAGAAAGTTTCTAAACAAAGAAACTTGGGCCTCTGTAAAATGTTTATGTCTAGATGAAGATGGTGGATGTGTCCTTAGGAAACTCCTTGATAAGTAAAATTTACAAATAAACATTGAATCAAGAGAGGCCCATAGTCATGTTGATGGTTCAGAACTATTTTATTGATTTATTTTTATCAGACTGAAAGCGCAAGTACCTGTAAGTGGTATCAGAAAGAAAGATCTTGAAATAATTATAATTCTACTTGCTTACGTTAATATCCTTAAGTTTACGGAGCAATTAAACTTACAGACAAAAAGTGTCATAAGTTCTAAAATCATTTTAAGATTAATTGTTTATTTGTAATTTATCAGTTTCTTTTTATTTTCATGTAAAATACTGTATATTCTGCTAAATTAAGTCTCACTACTTGAAAAGGCGTCAAAATTTGATTTTCGAGACTAGAATGAAACTTTCTGACAATTTTAATGTATTTTTTCTCTTTCACTCTAAATGTAGTTTCAATTCTCATATGTTTTGCTGCAATACATACAATTTCAAAGGAAATGCGCGAACAGCAACTTTTCTATTATTAGGACTATTTTTGTTTCAATTTACTTGAAAGAGATAACTTTCATATTGTCTACTCCATGGGTAATTAAAGTGAGTTTTTCTTTTCCCGTCAAGAAATTCTGAAACAAGCTATACGTCAATCATGCGCCAAGATATAGTGTTCTAAGGTGTAGAACCATGGTCTCTTGTCCCTCAATAACAATATAATGTTCTAAGGTGTAGAACCATGGTCTCATATCCTTCAATAACAATATAGTGTTCTAAAGTGTAGAACCATAGTCTCTTGTCCCTCAATAACAATATAGTGTTCTAAGGTGCAGAACAATGGCCTTATCCCCCAATAAAAAATAGTGTTCTAATGTGTAGAACCATGGTCTCTTATCCCTCAATAACAATATAGTGTTCTAAGGTGTAGAACAATGGTCTTTCACCCCCAATAACAATATAGTGTTCTAAAGTGTAGAACCATGGTCTCTTATCCCTCAATAACAATATAGTGTTCTAAGGTGTAGAACCATGGTCTCTTATCCCTCAATAACAATATAGTGTTCTAAGGTGTAGAACCATGGTCTCTTATCTCTCAATATCATTGATATTGTGTATTTCACGTATTCCTTTGATAAATGTGCAAGTAATAAATAACATTACTAGACACAGTGATGTTAAATTACGACTCTAATAATCTCATGAATTAATCCTCACTAAATACGTTCATCGATCTAAGTATAAGCTCACATCTGGGGTTAATAACGACCAAACAAACCAATCAAAATTACGTCTCACATCATTACTGAGGTTAAACACGCCTAATTAAACCATTGATCATACAACTCGCATCATTCTCTAGATTAATCACGCATAAAAAAATATAATTCGTATTACCCTTTGGGTTAAACGCGTCTAACTAAATTGCCGCAATCCGAATGACCGTTAATGTTATTATTTGAGTTCATCTCGCCTGTTACTAAATCCCCATTTTAAATGGCAACTCTTATTTTTTTCACAAATGATAAAAAAACACTTTAAAAATGTGTAAAAATTATACAACGTTTAGAAATAAACCAGAGTAAACTTCAGCTATTTTCTCTCCCAAGATTATTTTCAAGGATTTTGGCCTACATTTCACTATTTGTATCTTACTGTAGTTTTTAAAGCAGTGCAAGGCAAACTAAAAACCATTTGGGCCATACTTTATGTACAATAGATTTAATACGTTGTATTATATCGCCCACAACCGATATAATGTCGTGATGAAACGGCATGTATCAGAAGTTCAGAACTACATTTTGACATTGTTAGGCGTTATGTAGATAGTGTGCTGTCACCAAAAATTGATCGCTTTTAAGAAGGGTTGGTAACAGTTCATTCCGATGCAAAATATTTATACACTCAGATCATAAGAATGTGTTCAGATTGCGTACTTAATGGCATTAGAAAATTAAAGAATATGGATTAACTCAAGATAATCTAAAAAGAGACCTGCAACAATTCGTATCCTAGCTATGATCAACAGAGTGCAGCATCTTGTAACAGGTGAGAATTTATGAACACAAAAATCAGTGGAAAAGATTCCCACGTGGCCCATGCAACATAATGAAGAAGAATATTTTGGAAACGTTTTGCATACTTCAAGCAGCTTAAGAATGAAATGGGTATTCATGTTATTCCTTATTAAGACACACTGGGCAAGCATCTATGAATTTATGTGCGATCAGACTGTTGGAACTGGTACTAGGAAACCATCCTTCTCCTACACTAAATGGATTATGAAAAGCCTCTAGTGAGGGGTAATGTGCTTTGCGCGTGACAGCCTTACGACGTAGCCTTTTGCAATTGAAACTAAACGGGAAGACATGAACAGTTGAACTGTAACAACCTGTTTCCAGTATTGTTTTATTGTAGCGTACTCAACCTCTCTATATGATTATTAGCTAGATATTTTTATATAAAACATTTGAAAAATCAGACTTAACATTTGTACCTTGCAAAAAAGTTAGAAACAAATTAAAACCATTTTACTAGCTTAATCATCACAGGCTGAGGGTGACTTAGTGGTTAAGGTATGGAATTATAAATCAAAGAGTCCGTGGTTCGTTCTGCATATTGAGGCCGTGATTGCAATATATGTGAAAACGTCACGCTAGCCTTTGTGTAGATTTTTCACGAATGTTCGAAGGAAAGGAATTAAAAAATATTTCCCACTCAGGGTTCAAAACGTCTCTTGTTTTGGGGACTTTGCGTTTCAGGAAACAATTTTAAGTAAAATTAATGGTCATATAATTACTAAGAGTTCTTACATCAAAGCGTTTTCATGTAAATTAAAATTGTTCATAAAATATCGCAAAGAAACTATCGCTGCTGAAAATATTGTAGTCTCATGACCTCGTAACTGGCAAGCGATGCAAAGTGAAACTCTTAATAAATGTATTATTATTTCTAAACACCAAAGGGAAATAATTACCCTATACTTTATGTGTCAGCTGCTTTTCCGAGTCGTGGGAAAAGATGACGTTTTAAAACATTTAATAAGATCGGGTTAAACGATTGGTCAGTGCAGTTACAACCAAACATACTCTTCCTAAAATAAAAATCATTTAGTAATAAACACGTATGTTGTCCTGTGAACATCATGCGATCAAGCACTTTAGGCTTTAAAGTTTTCTTCATTTTTTTCCTACTTTATACTTTCATTAAACGAAATATAAGTTGAAACGAGGTAAGTTTTTACTTTTTATTCATTTGTTTTTCCTAAGTAATATTACATATGTGCTTCGAATACTCGAGGTTAGGATTTGAGGCAGTTAATTAATGATTATGATCACCAGATGTGGCAGTGCATCACAATTGTCTGTCTTTCATTGTTTGCGGTGAACGGATTTGATTAGCCCTATTGATTATTAAGCAGCAAAAACGGGCATGGTTTAGTGAGAATAGGTTAAAATATCCATCTGCAGACTTGTCAGGTAATGGTTTAGTGAGAATAGGTTAAAATATCCAACTGCAGACTTGTCAGGTAATGAATATATTTGTTCTCTGTCAATTAGACAATGCATATTCAGCTTAGTAACTACGCCTACAACGAAGGAAAGACAATGGCTGTAATGCTTCTTCAAAATTATAGTAGTCGATATTATCCAATGAAAATTGTGTTTTATTTATCAGCAAGTTCATTACTATCGATTTAGTTATGATGGTTTTATAGAAAGTTATTTGCTAATAGTTTGTGTTACTATAACGCGTCAATATTGACAGAATGTTTAATTTGACTTGTTATATATCGAACATTTTAAAACCATTCAATAATTTTCGTAATGTGGCTCTTAAATTCATTTTCGTGTTTGTACAAAGTAAACTATTTTCGTTGCGCAAGTAGATTTAATGTGAATAGTTATTGTATGTTCGAATATTAAAAAGTATAAATAAATTGTATAGTCGTAAAATATCTTTAACTGCAATACCTGAAGTAGCTCCGATTGTTTTTCGCACTACTATCTACCCTTACTGCAAATCTTATAAATATAGTTTTTTGAATATGCCTATATCAAACAACATGACATTTCCTTCTATTTTTTTGTAATACAAAGATGTGATATTCTGATTGATGATTAATAATTTCACTCTTCCATAACTAGTAGTTACAAGTGGTTTTCACCTGATTGAAGGTTATTTAATTCATATAGTTGGTTGTTAAACAACAGAGCACTTATATTCTGCTAACTGACTTTGTTCTATTGGTTTTTACAAACCTGTTATTTTTATTTCAGCACTTTTCTCTCTTAAAAATTTAAATGTCCATTTTAACTACTGATTTATTAACTAACGTTCTACTATTTGGTCATTTTGGTCAGCAAGCTAGTAAATATTCACATCAAACTTTTGTTAGTAGTTTAAAATTATAAACTTAAAGAATTAATAGATCATTTTATGTTTATATTTCAGTCATAACTATTCATTTAAAAAACAATTAAATATATTTTTCGAGTTCCTTTCAATATATTTCTTATTTTGTGGAATTAACACCATTATAATCCATCATTGTGTAAATATATATATACATATAAGAATCTCAACGCTATGATTTGAACGTCGAAAGCTTTTCTACGGTGACTCAGCAGTATAGCTAAGGGCTTAATGCTAAAAACTGGCTTTCGAATCCCGCGATGTGCATAGAAAAGAGAATCCGTTGTGTAGGCTTTGCGCTTAACGATAAACAAACATATGTCGGAAACTGGCGAAGCGTTGGAATCCATGGTACTCAATAACTTTTAATTTCTTATACTGGATATGTAAGCCGCGTTTTAGATAACCTTTTTCGCTCAGCTGAAAGTTCGGGTATTATACGAAAGTCCTCGGGAGTGATTTATAGGGGACAAAAGATGGTGAAAAGCGTGTCATAAATGTTATCTTTATACACTCCTGGTTTGAAATCCGTAATGAATAAGTTGAAAGGAATGTGAAAAAAGCATCTATAGTTTAAGTTATTCTTATCCTAGTCAAATCATTATTATATTAGTTCATGCAGTTTAAAGCTTTACGGTTCTGGTAATACCATTCAAACACTAAAGGCTTTACAAGAGTTGTAAGTCGAAAAGCCTTGTTTTGTATTTTCTGTGTAATCAATTGAAACGTCCTGAAAAATGTGTTTACAAACGTTATTATAGATTAGCAATTATTGTTTCAGGCTACTTCATGGTACTGAGTGTTACATCGAGTGGTACTTACGCTGACAGTCGTTTAATTACACCATATTTTGGAGCATATGGCAACCAGGATGTCTGTATGTCTGTGGATGTATATATGTCAGGACCAGCAGTACGTGATGTTGAAATTTCTCGCCAAGACTCGAATACGGAATCCATTGGCAAGTACACTGAGGTCTCTAATTCGTGGGTGACTCGTAACTTCAACCTCAAGGCAGGTCGTGAAGATATGAGGGTAAGTATTAATATTGTTTTGTTTTTTTTATGTAACTGTATATCCTTTGGAAGAAAAACATAACCCGCGTACTGTGTTTCAAGACCAGTTATTCGCGTATATAGGTAAACTATAGGAAAATGTTGAAAAAAATAATGGAGTAGAAAGTTTGCATTATTTTAATATATATATATGGCTGTTCTAGAAAAAAAAACTGTCGTCTAACGTGGGTATAAGTATAAAAATATGTTTGGTTTGATTGCATTATCATTTTCATTCTATTTTATAAATGTAATAAAAACGTGATTCAGAGTATTCTGTATCGCTGAAGTACACCCTCACACCTCCATTAAGTCTGTAAATTATTTTTGCATATTTAATTTAAAATATATTTGCAGCAGAGGTGTCGCTAGGTGCTTAAAAGATTTGGGGCTCGACGTTTCAGTATGATATCGATCATGGTTCTCTATTCTAATTTTATAAAACACCAACTGGGGATTCGGAGTACGGGCCCCGCGTGCCAATGCCTAGCAACACCTCTGATTTTCAGTTTGTAATTCAAAGAAGTTTCCCTTCGAACATCAATAGTTTTAATATAGTTTCATATTTGCGTTCAGTAATTAAATTTCATAATTAATTACACATATGTTCGATAATAACTTTCATAGTTAAATGTGCTGGATTGTAATTGAGACTTTTAATATAACTTGGCTTATGATATTTTTCAGTTCTTTATTTTTGCTGCTTTGGATCCTTATTATGGAGATGGAGTAGTTGCTGTGGACAACTTAAAGTTCAAACGCAAACCTTGTTAGAAGATGTAAGAATTTTGAACATCCGTTAAAAAGTTACCTTCTAATTTCCATATTAACTAAAACTCAAATTACTTCATTTGTAACTTTCCCTTACTGTTTTTTGCAGAAAAGCAGGCTGTGATAAAAATGTTTAGATTCTGTGTTTCAGTATTTCACAAAAATAAACGTTTAATGTAAAAATATGACTCACTTGTGATTGATTAATTGTTCTCTCAATTCATCACAATTTTAGAAGAATAAAAATAATACTGAACGTTTAACATTGAATGGACATCATATCTTTAAAATCACGTTTTTTTCTGAGTGTGGCATGATAAGTTTTTGTGTTTTACAATTTTTTTTAGTTAGTGACTCCAGTAAATCTTTATAATTCACAAAAATATCATCAGTGCCATCTATAAAAACTCATGTAACGTTGCTGAAGAGAATTTTACATGCTACTGGCTGAAAATACACAAAAAATGTATTACTAAAGAAGGAGCTTTCGAGCCATCTTGCTAAAAACAAAAGGAACTTTATTTACTAAAACAAAAACGACATTGAAATTACTTCGGTTACGATTAACAAACTAACAGAATTAATTACATAGAATTTAATGACAATTTTACTCCATTAAGAATTTTCGTTTTAGAATAAACCGTTATTTATCACTTGTTGTGCATTTGATATTTACAAATTGAAATACGAATATTTTGTACAGCTCAATACAAACTTATAGTCACTTATTAGCTATTTCTCACACTTTATAGAAATAAATCAAACAAAGTAAATAATAACTCAAATCAGATATAAAAACCATCAAGTTTGTCGAAGCTTTGTCTTTAGGGGAAAGTGACATTTTAATACTTATCTCATACCTTGTCGCCCAGGCATTTATCTTATCTATTAGTATCATAAACACAACATACAATTTTTAAACATAGCTATGACTAATAATGTAACAATTACAAAGATGACTCAGTGACATGGCTTATGGTTTAGATATTTAGATAGTCAGTTATTGAACATTCACATAATTATTACAAAATACGAACCGAACTTTATATTTTTTTTCAATTAACAAGTACTACTTCTTTATGTATGTGTCACCAGATAATTGTTAGAATAAAAGTCAAGGCCACTTTAATCATATTAAAGAGCTCTTGGAGCACACTCTTGAAAAGGTCTGTAGATTTTATGGGAGCAATTCTTTAAAATAAATTTAATTTAAAATCTTGAGAATCTTGTCCATTGAGTAAACTGTGTGTCAAACAATCTTCTAGCATTTAGGACTAATAACAGAAATTATGCATACACAGTGAAAAGTTTATAAATATGGAAAAAAATTGAATATACAACAGTAATTTATTTCAGAATAGCTAGATAAATACTTTAATTATTTGTTTACTGTGAGCGCTCTTGTCCAAAATCGATTCTTCATATATTAATAATAGTTCTAAGTATGAAGTCACAGGTTCGGATACAAATCATTGGAATTGGAATTGTAATTCTGAAGCCATATTGTTACTGTCAGGTTTTGTAAGCCGGATTCTTTACAGTAGGTGTCTGTGACTTCTTGGCGATAAATTTCAATAATAAACAAACAGCAACACAGCCCACTTGTTTTAAAATAATATATCAAAACAAGTCAAATGTATATAAAATGTTCATTACACAGTTGTGTCCAGTACTTTAAATAATTGTCTCTTTTTTTTCGTCAAAGTCCACACAGGCTGAATAATTACCTGAGGTGTGCCCAAACCGAAGAAAGACTGAGTGCTCTAGCTTTAATACATAATCATCATGGCACTGCTATCAACAATGAAACTGTATGTAAGTTATTTATGGAAAAGCACCCAGAAGAATGAAGCATGCTAACATGTTATTTCAGTATAGTGCATACATACATGTACGTATAAGATAGCCAATGACTGAAATAGCTTATATAGTTGTTTAAATTAGTAATATGATTCAACAATTAATACCTACTCTGCATGTTGATAGTACAGTACTGTACTATAATAAAGCATACATATTTATACTAATTTAAGTCTAATTTCCATGCAGTGTTACAACAGAATGATGATTTGTTGATTTTTCATTGTGAACAGCCATACAATTGTTTAAACTATATTTCATCCAAAAATGCTCCCAGATTTAATCTCATAGCACCTAGTTTTTACAAATTTTCTAGGGGGCATGAAGAAATGTGTCACCTAAATTTCTTTTATAAAAAATCAGTAAAAGTTAATAAATAGAATGAAAGGAGGGTCCGATTATATTAATGACCCCGGGGCCTGGCTCTTGACGCCCCTTCTCACAACAACATTCTTCGTACGGATCTGCTATTCTCCACTTGAACATTAACAGCCCATCGAGGTTTTGTTCTATGTGAACAAAAAATAAGAAGTTTGTTTGTTTGTTTTGAATTTCGCGCAAAGCTACACGAGGGCTATCTGCGCTAGCCGTCTCTAATTTAGCAGTGTAAGACTAAAGGGAAGGCAGCTAGTCATCACCACTCACCGCCAACTCTTAGGCTACTCTTTTACCGACAAATTGACCATCACATTATAACGCCCTCACGGTTGAAAGGAGCATGTTTGGTGGGACGGGGATTCGAACACGCGACCCGCAGATTGCGAGTCGAGCGCCCTAACCACCGGGTCTAAATCAGATAAACAACATCAGGGCTAACACCAACATTTTTCCAGAAATATACAATTAATTTAAGTATCTTGTTGCTATTGCTCTTGGTTAGTCATAGTCAGTTTAAAAGCTTCCCTAGTATTTTCTTCTTGTTCAAAGCACCTTTGTATATCATTGGTAAATTCAGTATCATTATAAGCTTCAACGGTTGAAAAGTCTGTTCTTTTTTTCACCCTACTTTCAGAATTACCCACAGTTTTGCCAACTTATAGATATATGACAAATTTGTCTGTATGATTTGGGTACACTACTTTATCATTTTGTTTTCTTATAAAGATGATTTGGAATATTAGTTCCTTAACAAACTCTTAAGCTGAAATTTATTATAGAGATTTGGTCTTACAACATTCACATTTTATTTTCCTATTTCTCTCTAGTCTTGTCAAGTTACTTATTAATTACAAGGGCCTGGTGGATATCAGGATGAAAAAGTTTATGTACCGTATGATCCCGAATATTAAGCCTGATTGATTTTCTTTTTTTTTTGATAAAACAGTTAGCACAAAGGATCACATATAAAGTGTAATAGACTTAAAATAAGTCCAAAAATTCGAGCGCTTTCGAATAGTTGACTATTCTTCTTCAGGAGAACAAAGCCTGATTGATGTCGGGTTATCAAGCATGAAGGATGTCTTTATGTCATCTTACTGCTAACTTTCCTTCAACATATTGAACGACTTAAGTATGTAAACGACTGCTGTTTGCTTCAATATATTGTGTTAATCGCTGTAATTTCTCTGTGATATTTATGTTTACTTAAGTGACATGTATTCGTTGCTAAACATTCTCTGAAAGCTTTTTGTAACCTCATACGACATATGTGTTCGTTGCTGGGCAGTCTCTGTAGTATTTATGTCTTCATAAGTAATGCATATAGTACATGAGCTGCTCATGATGTATTTCCAGGTTTATAGTAAGTTTCAACGTTATGACAGTAGGTGGCCCAAAACACTAATGCCCTATAGCATCTAACCATTTTTTTTGGTGTACAAGGAACGAAATATAAACGATCTAAATGATTCATGGATATTATTCCCAGTGAGAATTTGCAACGGGCATAGATAAATTAAAATTATTATTTCATAATTATAACATAAATTGAAATGGAATTCATTTATTATTTCAGTTACAAAATAGTATAATGAGTTCTAGATATATGGTTTATTTCATAACCTTATATATACTTAAACGCACTTGATATCTTGTCCCTCAATAACATTAAGATATATCAATACCTAATGCTTGTTTGTTTGTTTTTAATTATGCAAAAAGCTACACAAGGGCTATCTGTGCTCTGCCCACCACGGGTATCGAAACCCGGTTTCTAGCGTTGTAAGTCCGCAGACATACCGCTGTGCCACTGGGGGGCAGACCTAATGCAAACACGTAGTTGATAGACCAAATGGAAGGTTTCTAGCCACCAACACTACCCACTGGCAACTCTTGGGCTATTATCATCTGACTGAAAAGCGGGATGTGGTGTCACACTTATTGCATCCATCGATCCATGGTGCTAAGAACGTTTTTTGAGGTAAAATAGCCGAGAAACACGAATCCTCGGATTCACATTCCGAGCACACTAACTAATGAGTGAAAATAAACAACTTTCTGCTTTTAGAGTTTTTAAAATGTATCTAGTGTAGAGACCAGACATAGAAGCTTACAATAACCCAACTTAGGATTTATGTGTGAAAACAAGAATATGTGGTCGTAATTTTTTTTACTGATTGATAGATTTAAAGCCTATATGGAAGAAATAAAAGTGAAAATTAAAGGTCACTAAAACGTTTTATTTCTTTCTCTCTAAGAAGTCCCCCGTTGGGAGAGTAGTAACTTCACACATCTACAACGTTAAAATCTAGTGTCGATTCCCCGCGGTGGACACAGCAGATAACCTAATATGTCTTTGCTCTAAAACAAACGACCAAACAATTCTCTAAGAAAAAAAAATACAATTAAATACACAATAACAAAAGTTATTTATGCCAGAAAAATCTAAGAGTCACATTTAAAAAAGAAAAACGTCAAAAGCACTAAAAATAAGGCATAAAAGACGCATTTACAATTACAATAAAAAAATAATACTAAACAGAAGAAAAATTAAACTCAAACAAAAACTCATCTCAACCTGTTAAAATTCGGCCTCTGTCTTGTGATTTTCGAACATGTGAACGGAACATTCACAACTTGACTTCGGGGCTCTACTTTCAATTTCCCCATCTTATGCTTTAATTAACAAAAAAAAAAAGAAAATAAACATTGCAGATATCAATTTTCAATACAAAGGGTTATCAGAGTATCATCAAGGCATATGAATAATATGGTAAATAAAAACAGTCAAAGTTATATATGAAGAATGAATTTGTTTAATAACTCCAAAAACAAACAATGACACACAAGCATATAACAAAATAAAAACAATCTATGTTTCTGTTGCGTCAGCGAGTCACATGACTACTGTGACGCCACGTTTCTAGAACTATCCTGTACTTTGGCGAATGCTCTAGTATTTACTAAATATAGGGTAGTCGGGTATATAAAAGAGGGTGACAACGTGACAGGGTAATGTAATGTGTGTATAGACAAAGAGTAATTGAACTGCAGTCAGTGAGCACGAGAGACGTTACAGCGTTTGTTTAGCGCGATTGTTGAAGTTGAGTGTATCGGTAAAGTTATATTCGGAAAGAATAAACCAGTTTTATTAAAAAAGGACTTGTGTCGTTTAAGTTTCGTAGGAACGAAGTTACGGAAAATCAATTAACAAACGGAGACGTAACATTTCTAAGATCCAAATATCTATTGAATTGTGAAACGTAAGCACATCATACAGTTTCTGCTATCTTTTTATTAATTATTTTCGTTAAAGTTTTATTCTATGCAGTTTTGGCATAAACGTTTGACCCATAAAACCGAATAGTTGCTCATTCTAATTACCTTAGTTTATTTAATGTTCTCCAGCAGATAGTAAGTATTTTTACACATTGGAGATATTGCTACCACTTCGCACATTGTGTACGATAGGTCGTCGACAGTAGTGTTCTTCACTGGCCCAGTATATGACATTTAGAGGTTACAAGCCTTTGTATGTTATTAGAGAACAACCACTCACATGATGGTGCCTGTCGCTTATATGTAAAACCGAGGTTTTTTCTTTGCTACAGAGCTTCAGTTTTAGCTAGAACAGAAAGTTATACTTAGTTAGAGACGTGAATCGATCAATGGAAAGTTATCTCGAGGGATAATAACTATTAGTTGATTCACTGATGCGATAAAAAAAGCGTCTGTTCAATTCCTATGCACGTACACACACCGTGTTTTTACATCTTCGATTAATATTACTTACATTTTGCATCACGTATCCAATTTGTTTGTTTTTCTGAGCTTAAACTAAGTAGTTTAGTTAAATTCAGATTTAGTCTGTAATTATCCTGCCCAAGTCTCCCTTTATAAAGCAGATCTATCAGATATTCGTACAGAAATCAGTTTACCCTTAGAATACCACAGAATCTTAGATTTCCTAATAAGTTTATATGTCCATTATTGTGTTACTTTGTCGTTCATTATCATAGTCCAGTCATTTGTATAAAACATTTGGCAAAATATTGCACTTACATCACGCACATATAAGCAATCATAGTATTGTTGCGTCAGCGAGGTCACATGACTAGTGTCACGCCACGTTTCTAGAACTATCCTGTACCTTGGCGAATGCTCTAGCATTTACTAGATATAGGGTAGGCTGGTATATAAAAGAGTGTGACAACGTGACAGAATAATGTGTGTGTGTAG